AGCGGAGTACGAGGCACTGATTTTCGGACTAAACCTAGCCCGAAACTTGGGCGTAAAACTAATCGAGGTAAAGTGCGACTCCCTTTTAATTATTAATCAAACTAACGGGGTTTATGCAGCTAAGGACCCAAAGATGACGGCATACCTTCAAGTCGTCACAGAATTGAGCAACCATTTCGACAACATCACTTTCGATCAAGTCCCCGACTATACCTGAGAACGTAGAGCGTCATTCTGCCCTTGGAGGAAGGATACCCTTTGACACATTTCCTCTCTGACGGCTTCTAGCTGAGTTTGCATTTCCTCATTTGAATTATCGGATCTTCTGGCCGCCTGCAATTCCTCACGAACGACATCCAACTGGGCTTGAATCTCTTCTTTCGAATGAGTAGAATCCTTAGCCGCACGCAGTTCTTCCCGAACAGCCTGCAACTGGGCTTGAATCTCCTCTAGCAAGGTGTTTGAGGCTTCGGCCATAATTGATTCTTTCTTTCTGCAAGAATTTCCTACAGACGGCGCCAAATGTTTATACCAGGATTAAACAATTAAATTGAACTGGGAATCTCACAAAATAGAATTAATAATGGACAATTCGATATAAGCAATAAATTGTATGATATTAATATATATTTATCAATATGGAGCTTTCGTATACAGAGTATTAGATAATTGGAATGAATGTGTTGATCGTGATCGATCATGTTTTACAATAAAGCCTGAGCTAGTGTATTTATGAAATGAAGTAAACTCCTTCCCCGAGAATAGCAACTGTCCTCCTATTTCTCCTCCATGTGCTAACTCTTCTCTTGACTTGATCTTGGACTCTTTAATTCTTATCTCTAATTCGAATGTCAACCGTAGCATATTGAAGGGCTTCGATTTTCCTTTGGGCTGCCTGGACCAGTTTACTTCGTCATATCTATGAGGGAATATTTCCCCGGGCCCAACAATGATAAAATTTAATCATATTGACTTGTAGTCACTTTTTTGTGCACAGTTTTTTTTAAACCCCGGTAGCGTTCCAAATCATCCAGCAAGGATGGTTTGGGGTAGGGCCAGGAAACACCCTACCTATTTATTAGCAAAAAAAAGATTACATAGTGTAGGAGGGCCAAACCAATGCCTACACGATTAGAAAGCATAAGGGTAGCTAGTAGCCTAGTAGCATCAAACTTAAGAATACCCACAAAATGATTAAAGTGATGATGCTTGGTGTTTACAGAAGTATTCCTAAGTGCAAGAAATTCAGCTGCACAATTGATACAAGGATGAATGTGTGTAATGGACCAAGTATAATCTCTGAGATGCCTTTTGATTGCCTGTATTCTAGGCCAGCATTTCCAATGTTGGACAGTAAGACCCAAAATGCCTTCATAGATGTTTTTATTATCAACTTCAAGAATAAAATTGTAGGTATTTATCTTCTTAATGTTGATAATAGTTTCAAGGATGGCGTCATAAGTGGTACAGTTGGTGTCGGTGGTGTGGTCGATGGAGGTCATATGACCTATGTAATCTCCAGAACTGTTTCGAATGAGAGACGCAGTCCTAGAAAGGGTAGGACTGAGATTTCTGGTAGCAATGTTGATTTTCAGAAACCCAAAGGGCGGCTTTTTCCAATGGTTAAGGCAAATGACAGTCCTATTCTTCCTCGGCAGAGTTATACACATGATGAAAGGGGTATGAGAGCTAGGAGTGGTAAAAGGATCAACATTTGAGATGGCAAATATTTCAGCTTTAATAGTTTTTATAGCCTCAGGAACAATGGCCAATTTATTATCATAGATAATCTTATTACGGATCTTCCAAAGGGTCCAAATGACAATATTTGGAAGAACGTAATTGAGATCAGCAATGTTGCCCTTAAAGCCTTTGTACCAGCTCAAAAGATAGTTATTGATAGTAGCGGTGGGTTTAGGTCTGGTCTGTAGTTGAAAATGTTTTCAAAATGCTCCCAAAATTTAGAGCTTAAAGTGCAGGACCTGAAAAAGTGGTCAATGGTATCACTGTGAGGACATATAGGGCATTTGAAGGGCCCATATATACCAAATTGATTAAGCTTATTTTCAAAAGGGAGAAGAGAATTTTCCATTTTCCAAAGAAAGATATTTTTTTTGGAGTCCGCTTATTCCAAAAATATTTACAGGTAGAGGTAACACTCAGATTAGGCCTAATCACATCATAGGCACTAGAAAAGCTGAAATTGCCATTCAAATTGGGTTTCCAAATACACTGGTCCTCTTTGTTGTTGTAAAGGATTTTTGTAGCTTTGATGCAATCAACAAGGAAGAATGGCAACATGGCTTGTAAAGTAGGGATCAGAGTATTATCAGGTATGGCTTCTTTAATTGTAATCTGGCTAAGGTGGATAGGGATGTCATCATAGCAAAGGTACAAAGGGCCAACATCACACCAATTTGAGAACCAAAAAGGAGCTGGAGCCATTATAAACCTGAATGCAAACATTAGCATCAAAAGTAGTTTGGACAGAAGCAATGGGCTGATACATAACCGAACGAGTGTCATCTTTAAGAGCATTGTACCAGTTAGCCCATATCCCTTTATTTTCAGTGATCTTCCAAAGAAGCTTAAGAAAGAACGTTTTTTGAATATGGGGGATACTTCTAAAGCCTAAATCATTTTCAGTGACAGGGTGGCAGACCTTCTCCCAGGCCCTCCAAATATGCCTATGATTATCAGTTTTTTTATCCCACAAGAAGTTAGAGAGTTTCCTCTCAATATTATGAATAATATTTCTAGGAAAGGGGGAAACAGCCATATAATATAGCGGAATAGTACTCAAAACATGCTGAATAAGAATAATCCTACCACCCGTAGATAAAACTTTATGTTTCCAGCCCGATAACTTGGCATCGATTTTGTTCAAAATACGAATTCAGAGGTCTACCAGTGAATATACTAGCCCCCAGGTAGGTAAAAGGGAAAGAACCCCGCCTAATTTTGATAATATTCTCAACAATTGACCAAGAATAGTTTTTAGAATGTTTAGAGATGAGATAGAAACTTTTATCTTTGCTAATCATTTGCCCGGAATATGTCTCATAATCAGTAATGGTCTTGTTAAGTAAAAAAGGACTATTTTTACCCGCATTACAAAGAACTATAAGATCATCAGCAAAAGACAAATGATTAATGAGAGGCATACCCATAAGAGTGTTGTAAGGTGTGGCCTTACCAGAGTGGAACAGAGCATTAATCTGTCTGGACAGAATCTCAGAAGCTATAATAAAGAGGATAGGGGAGAGAGGGTCTCCTTGTTTAACCCCCCTACTAGGTTTGAAGAAGCCTTTATTATTAGCACAGAACACCAAGTAGCATTTAAATTATTGCAAATAAGTTTGACAAAGAAGGGGTGAAAGCCAAATTTAAGAAGAACATGATTAATAAAGGTCCAAGAAATCCTGTCAAAAGCTTTCATCATGTCAAATTTGAAAAGGATGTTGTGGCCTCTAGTTTTCTTATTAATATGATTAACCAACTCACGCAAAACCAGAATGTTATCAGATATCTCTTTGCCTCTTTGAAAAGCAGATTGTTCGGGAGAAATTATCTTAGAGAGCATAGGGGTGATTCTATTGGTTAAAATCTTAGTAAAGATTTTATTAATGAAATTGCTAAGACTAATAGGCCTGAATTTGGAAAATTGGTAAGCATTTTTCTCTTTAGGGATGAGAGCTATCAGAGTATGGGCAATGGACTTAGGGATGGGGACACCACAAAAAAACTCTTTAACAGCATTGAACATGTCATTCTCAAGGTCATAGACAACACTTCTCAATTCGTCTTTGGTGATAGGGCTAAACAGTAATTCATTATCATTATCAGAAATGACCGAGTTGATATTGTTCAGATAATTAGTGGGGTCAAGAGAATCAGTATCATTATTGGAAGTAAGAAGTTCAAAAGAGTAGGTCACGGCAGCATTACTGATCTCATCATTGGTCTCAATCCAAGTATCATTTTCCAACTTATGGATACCGAGTTTTTTGTGTTTGGCTTTTAGGGAGAGATGGAAATTTTTTGTATTTGCATCTCCATCCTTAAGCCATTTTACTTTTGCCTTCTGCCTATAGTAAGTATTGATATATGCAGAGGCTTGAATGTATCTGGCCTGAGCTTGTTTTAAAAGGGTCAGGTCATCCTCGGAAAGGGAATCAGAAGCCTTATCTTCTAGAAGGGCAATTTGGGTTTCAGCTTCGGACTGCATATTGAAAATATTTCCAAAAATATCATGATTCCAATTTTTAAGATTAGTTTTTAACCTTTTTAGTTTTTTGGAAAAAAGCCACATTCCATACCCCTCAAAAGGGTTGTCCCAATAATTTTTAACACACTTAAGGCTAACCGCAACCCTCTCCCGTCAATAAATCAAATTCCCCATCTGTTTATACGTATTCACTCAGTCAAATCATTTTTCTCTGCAACCCAATACCGTCAATATATTCACCCAACACTATTTTCTTTAAATAAGTTTATAAATCCTAACTTTTATTATTACACATTAATTAAGTGACATTTTCTTACACACCAACAATTATGATTTAAAAAATCTAACATTTAGATGTAAAAAAATAATTGTTTCATAAGTATTAAAATATGGACACCTAAGCTTAATCTGAAATAAATTACAAGTGCCCATGAAAACATCAACAATAGAGCCCCATTAGTTGATGCGTGGAGTGATGCAGAGTGCTTATGGTGGCTGACATGTGGGCCCGCATTGTAACCATTAGTTTCTATTCTCCGTCAATATTCCTACCAATTCCGCCGGTCAGGGGTGCCATCCACCTACTTGGCACCCCAAAATACATGGGTTGGAGTAATTATTTGGGTGAATAGGTTAAATTTGGGTTGTTCACCTATGGGTTGCATGCAGCCTAAGAAAAGAAGGGTGTTTAGTCCACATGTGCTGAAACCTAAATATCTTTGGGCCTGTGCTAGGGACAGTGTTTTCTTGAAGAAGGAGGGGGTTGTGGTCAGAAACACATTTATTCAATTTTTTAAGCGTAAGGTTCCAGTTCAGTTGTAAAAACTCATTTGAAGCCATCACTCTATCAAGTTTTTAAAAAACGAGACCTTTCATCCTATTCAATTCCCCATCCAGGTATAGGGGGTGCCCTGGAAATTAAGCTCAGACAGACTTTTTGAAAAACTAAACTCATTGAATTCATCCATATCAACTTTGTTAGGAATACTTTTACCCTTGTATTCATCCACGACTTTGCTCCAATACTGTCCCTAAAAAGAGTCAGTTTGTTCCATAGGATCCTTCTAGTAATTCTGCCATTACCACCATACACCACATAAATATATATAGGCTGATCCGAATGATTAGTAATGACAGACATATTAACACATTGAGTAAGATCAGAGATAATGTTGATAGTGTACCTGGGATCCCACATGATCCAAATTTTGTTCAAGGAGTGGGCAAAGCAATTGGAAAAACCTAGGTGCATCATTTTGGTTTGTAAATTGCTAGAGTTAATCTTAGGTTCAATAACAGCAAGAAAATTGATATGATAAGTTTTGCATAAAAGGTTTAAACGATCAGTGGATTGAGTATTCCCAATCCCCAGAATGTTCCAAAAAAGCAAACTAATCATAAAAAACAGGGGGTGGGGCAGATCTTTTGGGCCTTAAAATGTAAGGCTCTCTATTAGTAGGGATTTTGGTTGGTCCAGAATTGGGCCTTGAATTGTTTGGGGAGTGGTGTATGGTTTTTTTGGAGGACTCACTATCAGATAATGTTTCTCTGGGGTCCTTGGCCATTTCCAAATCAATTTGCACCTTTTCACCTTCTTGGGTCATATCATTAAGATCAAGAGCAATTTCTGGTGATTGGGGTGTATTAGCATACTGATCAATGATAGCAGCAACATTTTCCTTCACATGAGTGTATTAATACGTAGTAATATCTTAGAAAAGACTATTTGTTTTTCTCCTATATATAGGGTTTACACGCGATCATCCATATAATAGTAAGAGAATTCCAATAAAAAGAGCACTTAACGATGTCGCTTTTAATTTTCTACGTTACGTTGTATATTTATCTCTGTATGTTAAACATTCATATCAATTTCTTCATGTACTTTAATGATTTATTTTATTGCATTATGTTGGAAAATTTTCATATCTATGATTAGAATGTGACATTTTAAGTGACAAAAATGTGATATTTTAAGTGCAGTGATTTTTTGTGATTACTTTTGTATTCAATGTTTACATTTAAGTGAACTGACGCTACACCCATAGTAACCTTACTCATGCATATTTTTGTCAATAACTTTTTCCAGTAATATTTTTCAATTTTTTTATATTGCTTCCATGTTTTATCATATTGAAATTCATTGTTTTTTCATTTTAATAGAGTATTTAGTTTTCTTATTAACTAATTTATATACAACTTTTAATTTATTAATAGAAAATCAATTATTATCAATATATGTGAGAGTTGATTTTCAACTAGATCAAGCTTGCATTAGTCCTTTATAATCCCTTGACCCTTATAATAAAAAAACAATTTAATGTCAAATATTTGAGTTGTGATGACATCTATCACAATTAGGATGTTTTTACTTGGACTGTTTTCAGTCTCAAATCAATCAGATCAGACTTCAACAGACAAGATCAAACCAGACTAGATCAGACTAAAACAGACCAGACCAGACTTGACTTTCGTAGTTATAAAATTAAATACAAAGAGATTAGACGTTTACCAAATCAGACCAGTTCAAACCACACTAGACCAGACCTAAACAGACCAGACCAGACCAGACCAGACTTAAACAGACCAGACCAGATCAACAAATTACAGTTGAAGTTTCAAACTGTTAGTCTCACATATATATGACCTGGCCTGGCCTCTATATATTATACATAGTACTACATATGCTATAGAAATGAAATTTGATTAATGCACGTACGTACAATTGTACTCCGTGTTTGTTATTGTTTCCTTGAGATGTGATTACTTTTTCATTATAATAAGTTTATCATGCACATATATCTTATAGAATCAATAACACGTATATATGCAAAACTAAAAATCAATCGGCATGCATAAACATAAAGAGAATCAAATTTGTGGTGAGCTAACAAGAAACTCATAGTAGGTCCTGCAATCATACAAAGAGCCCATGCAAGGCCTAAATTTTTAGATTGAAAATAAACATATATACATACATACATTGTCTTGTTACCAAACACGTCGTCGACTCGTCGAGATATAATATCTATACCTAATTACATTGCCAAACCTAGCTAACCACTATTACATATAAAAAGGAGTAGCTTCAAGCTTTAGTTTCCTTCAAGTCCTGAATTTAGTCTTCAATTCCACTCCAAAGCCCACATTTTCCGATCCAGTCGTAAAAGGAGCTAAGCTAGCTCCCGGCTGCCCGGCTGCCTTCAATATAATTAACTTCAGGATGAATTTTCTAAATGCTCAACTTTTGGCAATCATCTTTGGTAGCCTCGGTACGTATATTAATTAGCTAGTATTGTTATTTTGTTTTAATATATTAATATGTTAATATTGCTCAATTTCCATAGCTGCATATCGAATTATTCAATATTTTTTCAAACGCAGCTATATGTCAATATTAATCATTTGTACGTACGTACTTTTTGAAATTAGTTTTATTAATTTACTACTCCGTGTCTCCCTATATTATTAACTATTCGCAAATTCACAAATATATTATATACTTTAATGTTAATAAACAAACAAAAAAACTCAAACTTTGTTTTTGTTTGCAATTGTGCTCTATACATCATGGTTCTTAAAGATTACAAATTAATGGTCATCACATTAATACTTTTATATACCAGTATCTAATTGACTAATTCTTATCCTATTTTATTTTCCTTCATATATACTTTTTAAAAATGATTTAAACCAATTTATGAAAAGTTAATCATGCATACTGATCACCCCGTAGTTGGTAAGTTGCCTAACGAAAAAAAATCATGAATTAAGGAGTTGGTACAATAATTTTTTAAAAGAGGCTGACTTGGTAAAATTGCTTTAAAACTTTTGAAGTTTGTTTTCATATAAATTTATCACTTACAGAATTTAGCTTTTTAATTTCCTCACGGTTGTGTGATACTACCTCCGGTTTTTTTTAATCTTCACAGTTTGACTTCACACAAAATAAGGAAAGAAATTTGACTTTAATGTAAAATACACTGTTGAGGCACTGTTTGACACTGTTTGGCACTGTAGAGACACTGTTTGGCACTGTTGAGACACTGTTTGGTACTGTTTGACACTGTTTTGATGTAAATTTCTTTGCCAAAAAATAAAATAAGGAAGTGTGAATTTTATTTTAGACCGTCCCATAAAGGAAAGTGTGAAGTTTATTAAAAACCGGAGGGAGTATTTTTTATCTTCATAGTTATATACTCCGCATATTTCAAATGTTTTATAATTTATGTTTTATAATTTATACCGTAATTCCACTAATACTCCCTGTGTATTATATATTTTTTGACGTACTCCATCTGATCTATAGGTTTTCCACGGAGATTAAGAAGAAAATGGTAGTGAATTGTATAGGAACAATTGTGTAAAAAGTAGGATTGTAGATTAAAAATATGAAAGATAATATTAATTAGGTAGAAAAGTATGAAAGAAAAGAGAAAAAGTAATAATAAAAAATATGATTAAAAAAAGTAATAATAATAATAATAGTAATAATAATAATAATAATAATAATAATAATAATAATAATAATAATAATAATAATAATAATAATAATAATAATAATAATAATAATAATAATAATAATAATAATAATAATAATAATAATAATAATAATAATAATAATAATAATAATAATAATAATAATAATAATAATAATAATAATAATAATAATAATAATAATAATAATAATAATAATAATAATAATAATAATAATAATAATAATAATAATAATAATAATAATAATAATAATAATAATAATAATAATAATAATAATAATAATAATAATAATAATAATAATAATAATAATAATAATAATAATAATAATAATAATAATAATAATAATAATAATAATAATAATAATAATAATAATAATAATAATAATAATAATAATAATAATAATAATAATAATAATAATAATAATAATAATAATAATAATAATAATAATAATAATAATAATAATAATAATAATAATAATAATAATAATAATAATAATAATAATAATAATAATAATAATAATAATAATAATAATAATAATAATAATAATAATAATAATAATAATAATAATAATAATAATAATAATAATAATAATAATAATAATAATAATAATAATAATAATAATAATAATAATAATAATAATAATAATAATAATAATAATAATAATAATAATAATAATAATAATAATAATAATAATAATAATAATAATAATAATAATAATAATAATAATAATAATAATAATAATAATAATAATAATAATAATAATAATAATAATAATAATAATAATAATAATAATAATAATAATAATAATAATAATAATAATAATAATAATAATAATAATAATAATAATAATAATAATAATAATAATAATAATAATAATAATAATAATAATAATAATAATAATAATAATAATAATAATAATAATAATAATAATAATAATAATAATAATAATAATAATAATAATAATAATAAAATGATCATTGCAAAAATGGAAATAATGAAATAGTCCTAGCTCCAAAAGGAATATGTAACACATATAATAAACTACGGAGGTCGTATATTAGCTTTTCCACAAAAAATATACGGAGTACTATGTACTACTACGTATATTAGTATATTAGATGTTTTAAGATTGTTTAAAAAAAAAATAGATGTTTTAAAATTGAAACATAAAAGAAATGAGAAAAACCAGTAAAAATGTCAAGTACTCTTTTACTATGGCTAATAAGTATAATTCTGAGAAATTTTAATGAGTCTTTTCAATATAAAATACTTCCCCCGTTCTTTAATTCTTACAACATGGTGATTTTTGCACTATTTACATACCTTACTTTGACCACGATTTTCTAGTAATATACATAATCAAATTATTACGTATAAAATGTTATTGAATTCCTATCAATGTGAATTTCCAAAATATCAACTTTTTATAATGTTTAATAATACATTATTAAATACAATTACAGTCAAAATTATGGATTGGCAAACGTAAAAGTCAAACTGTTGGAAGAATTAAAGAACGAAAGATAGTAAATAATATACTACTAGTAGTATATACTACGTATGTAGTACGTAGTATGACACACTAATGATCCTATATGTGGTCATAATTGGGAATATATTAGTAATATTCAGGGCCGAACCTCTTGTTGAGGCAAAGAGGCAATTGCTTCAGGCCCCAAAATTTTACTAAAAAATATGGGCCCATAAATAATTGTTTACTAGTATTATATATACACAATTTTTGTATTTCACATTAAAATAGCAATAATACAAATAATATCAATCAAAATAATATCATGTGTGTTTTAATTTTTTGATGTTGGCATATAAATTAAATTACTGCTTATGAATCTTAATATCCAAATTTTACATTATTGAAGGACCTTTTACAAAAAACCGACTCGGGCCAAAAAAATGTTAGAATCGACCTTGGTAATATTCATATCCTTAAAAGTATTATGGAGCATTTCGGGTGTGGTAACTTCATGGTGATATACGTCGTATGTAGAACTAGCTTTGGGTTATTATTCATTTAATGCTAACATTTATAATTGTTAAGATATTCTGATTTTCTCTTTTCCGCAGGTAATGTGGTGTCATTCATGGTTTTCCTAGTACCACTGTAAGGACTCGTAACTTTTGTGATTATTATTATTGCTAAAAATATAGTGCATGCACTCATTTTTTCTAATGTACTTCCAAAATCTTGTGATTAATATATTTTGTTAAATTATACAAGTACTTCCTCCGTTCTTTTTTAGTTGCAATATTTCTTTTTCCACGCTTGCCAATGCACAACTTTGACCGTCATTATATTTAATTCTCTATTAGTAAAAAACTTTTAAAAATCGGATTATGAAACTTCGTAATGAGACGAATTACACAATATTTTTCAAAAATAATAATTCACATACATTAATAAATAAAATGTAGTCAAAGTATAGTACATGAATAATGTGTAAATTCCAATGTTGCAACTATTATGATAAATTCCAATGTTACAACTATTATGATAAATTAGTAACTTAGGCCGTAATGATGTTGGTCATATACATGGCTTATATGTGTGCAACCATTTCATTAATTATATGATGGCATGATATTGTTAGAACGATTATATAAATATTATGTACAGGTCAACGTTCCATAAAATCTACAAAAGAAAATCATCAGAGGGATACCAATTCGTACCATATGTGGTCGCACTTTTCAGTGCACAATTGCTGCTATATTATGGTTTGATCAAGACAAACGCAGCTCTAATCATCTCCATCAATGCAATTGGCTGTGTGATTGAGATCGCCTATATTTTTGTTTTTTGGTTTTATGCAACCAAGAAGGAAAAGATGGTATGTAATACCATTCTTTAATAAATGAATCGTGCATATTAAATTTTACACTATTCACATGTTCTACTTTGATTGTATTTCAGTTATTAATGTATTAACATATTTTTTGAAAAATAATATTGTTAAATTTATATCATTGTACTACGTATAATTTCAAAATCTAATTATTTGAATTTTTTAATAATAGAGAATTATAAATATTAATGGTCAAAATAGTGTTTCGGAAAATGTGAAATAATGTTGACTGATGTTGCATTTATTTAAGAACGGAGCAAGTACGTAGTACGTACTATCGTATAAATTTTCACTTGATCTTCATCTCCATTTCATAGATTAATTATTTAATTATTTCTTCACCACCTTGTGGCCTGCCTAAAAAGTGTTAACTGTTATGTTTGTATCGTTAAAAAGGACGACATCCTTATTATTTTTTCGGATATTATTTACTTAGTTAATTCCTCCCTATTTACATCTTTTTCTGTGGATAAACTATAACTAATCTTCTTTCTAGGTCGTTATCATATTGCTAATGTTATAGAAGTATTATGTTTTTATTTCCTAAATATGAATCATTACTAGCTAACTTGGAAAATAATGACACAATGACACTTATATCATGTCGTAAGTGGTAATATTTTTCAAGTTTAACAGTAATCACTCATATTTATAGAATAAAATATAGTAATCATATTTTTGAAATTTACAAATATTTTTACTTTTGAGAATTTTTCTTTTAATAGGGAGTATATATATGTTGAGCCAAATGCGGTTTGTATTTTAGGGCAGAATTGAAGAACCATTTTGGTATTCCTAATTAATATATTTTGCGTTGTATATGCAGAATTTATTAGCTTTTGTCGCACTCCTGAATATAATAGCTTTTGGATTGGTGGTTGTTTCAACGATGTTTGCTTCAAGAGGGGCAAAAAGAGTCCTTCTTGTGGGGTGGATGTGTGCTGTGGTCAATGTTCTTGTCTTTGCTGCTCCTTTGAGTATCATGGTATTATATATAGTACTACGAAATTTATTAGCATTTGGAACCCGCACGGGTAGCTCAGTTGGTCGAGCGGTGGGAAATTTGGAATTACGACCAAAGTTCGAATCCCCGCAGTGACCGGGTGGAGGTCACAAACCTGAAATAAGGCTGGGTCTCTGGTGCGCACGGGTGTATGGGCCTACTCTCACTTTGCCGACTGAGTCACCGTAACTTACATCCTCCCATGTGCTTTGTCGGGGCGTGAGGCCCTTGGGGTTGGGGATTCAACCTTTTGGAACTAATGCATCATGGACTAATAATTAATTATAACAATACTATTATATTACTAGGGAACTCTTCCGGTAAGGTATACCTTACCGGAGCCTCCGTGCGGCCTCCACGTTTTGAGGGCCTTCCCGGTGGAATTTTGCGATGACATTTTTTGAGCATGTTCTTCATCAAGTCTAGTACATCCATACCAAATTTGAGCAAAAAATTCAATTGGGAAGGTAGTCAAATGATTTTTGGAAGATAACTGCACCCTTTATATACATATAAAACGCAGTTATCTTCCAAAAATCGTTTGGCTGCCTTCCTGGTTGAATTTTTTGTTGAAATTTGGTATGGATGTACTAGACTTGATGAAGAACATGCTCAAAAAAGTTCATCGAAAAATTCTACCGGGAAGGCCCTCAAAACGTGGAGGCCGCACGGCGGCTCCGGTAAGGTATACCTTACCGGAAAGATTTCCTATACTACTATATACGTAGTACTACATTAGTGATAATTTGGTTATTAGTAACTTATGATAAAAAAAAAATAGGTCTTCATATATTTATGTAACATGCTCACTTTTAGTGAGTGTTATTACTTATTACCTCTAGTAGCATTCATATGTACGAAGTACTCCGTATATGACAAGTGAATAGAGATAAATAATAGAAATTTTCCTAAATAGGAGAAAAAATAATTTCAAATTCCAAAATATGAGTGTTAAATTTTCTCTAAAATATGAGTAGCTAGTTACCGCCATTTTGGAGCTAATTACGCCATTAAAATTATCATATTAATGTGTGATAGAGCCAAATTGTGACAATATGATTTCAGGATAGAAATAATTAAATTACATATATAAAAACACAGTACCCCTAAATTGGACTTTCACATTATACTTTTATTCTCATTTTAGGAAATTTAATTTCCTCGTGAATGTTGGGAGTGAATTTGATTAGTTTCTTAGCTTATTAGCTTCAATTTGATTAGCTCAATGCATGGATGCAGAGAAAAGTGATAAAGACAAAGAGTGTAGAGTTCATGCCACTTGATCTATCCCTATGTCTCATCCTCTGTGCAACCACTTGGTTTTTCTATGGACTTTGCGTAAATGATAAGTTTATTGCGGTAAGAATATAATGTTAATTAAAGATGATATTTTGATCGACTTAGTTGCTAGACATTGAATAATAGTACTCGTAATTAAAGATGAGCTGCCTAGTTAATTAATGAATTACTATATACAGGTGCCAAATGTAGTGGGATTTGCATTTGGAATCGCTCAGATCGGCCTATACTTGAAATACAAGGAATCCAAAAAAGAAAGCGGCAATGAAAGAAAAGGTCCCAAAGGAGAAAAGAATGAAGGGTTACAAATGTGTGATCAAGTTGCGTCTCATGATAACTCCCACAACAATTGATCCATCTATCATATTATACACAATTCTACAACGTTTTCTTATATATCCTGCAGTACATGTACGTATGAGTGAAATACACGGCACCATCGTACTCTAATTTGTATTTTGTTCATCAAGTATTTTTATTTTATTTTATAATAATCTAAATGTGATAGATACTCCGACTAGCTAATCTATAATGTCATGTATGTATATGTATATACAACCTATTCATCTACATATTTGTTGGGAAAAGTTGTTTGCACCACACGTCCACACTCCACACGTTCACTACAAATTAAAATATAAGCATGCATGAACTAATTAAAATGCTAAATACGGAGTAGCATATACTCGTATAACAGTATTGAAAATCATGTCAGCAAAAACGCATTGCAAGCCTTCAAAAGTAACAATGAACTAAATTTAACGAGCGAGATGAATGTTTGTCATTATTAATGAAAGGAAAACGTTTGTGTATGGTCTCGATCGACAACAGCCACCAATGGAAGGTTTAGGCAACACACTATTGGGTGTGTTTCGGAAAATAAAGAAAATTAATTAAAATAAATTAATTAAATAAAATGACTTGAAGGAAAAAACGAGAAATGAGATGAAGCAGAATAAGCCAAAGCTCGTGCCAGGCACGATTTCCTTAAAACGTATTCGTTGCCTCCCGGGGTGCTAGGAGCGTTGCAACGATCGTTTCCCAGGATACGATGACTTCGAACAATAGTTTAGCACTCAAACTAAAGTTCCAACGAACGTGAACAAAGCAAGAACACTTAGGAATTTTTCAGAGTGACTGGAGGTGTATTTGAGCTAGAAAACACGTGAAGTTCGTATTGTGTGTTGTGTATTGTTGCAAACCACCTGCAGCCATTTATAGGGAAGATTTGTTGTGTGTTTAATGGAGGTTTAATGGATATGAACGTTGGTAATCAATGTCCAGCACGTTGGCATTGATTCTAGTCCAAAAAACCGTCCATTTATTGCAAAGGAACGTTGGGCATTTATGGAGTTGTAACGTCCCAGCAGTGGGCTGCGGCAGACGTCTCAGCAGCAGGCTGCTGCGGACTGTCCTGCCGGCAGCAGGCTGTTGCCGACTATCCTGCCGGCAGTGGGCTGCTAGAGCAGCCGGCTGCTACCCCCATTTCAACGGGCAAACTTCGAAAATCGATATTTCATTCACCCGTTATCCGTTTTGAGTGTACCACGTATCGAATTGTAGCCCTTAACAAGGACAATCCGAAACCACTTTGACCCGACCCGAATCGGAAGTGGACCCCACTCAAAAAATTGCCCCAAAATGACCATTTAATGCAATTTACTAACACATTTTCCAACAATCCCCCACATGAATGAAAATTGATTTTCGAGACTTAAAAATGACACGAAGATAGGAGGACACGTTGTGTTCACTGGATGATCCTTGCGTACGGAGAGGTAGGTTTAATCCTTTGAACCTTCCGCTGTAAAGACACGTTTATTTACTGGCTGTTTAGTAGACTCGATGTCCTTGAACTATACTGCCGTCGTGTAAACATTGACTTATCTTTACACAAGAACCTTCCAACTTTGTTCCGTTCTCATGGGTGTGCCCGTTTTGGCCATGGGTCACCGTCCTGGTTCTGCAAGAGTTTCTAAAGAACTGAGCCTTTACAGTTCTCCTTTGAAGCTGTAAGGAATAATTGTATTTAGATTTTGATGATGCTAAACAGATTAGAACATTAGAGTACCCCCCCATTAGCTATGATGTATTAGAATTTTCTCCTTGTAAGTACATTTTAGAATAGTCAACTGACAGAAGACCTCGAGACCCTCTGTTGAAGTTCTACCTAACAGAATCGCTGTTGGTCTTCTACTCCTCAGAAGTACCTATGGTATTCTGTTGGACTTTCTCTAGTCAGAAGAGCTCGAGACCCTCTGTAAACCAGCAGAAGATCAGACACTTAAAAGTTTTTGACAAATACTTCAACGGAAGATTCCCTCAACGGCTAGCTCACACTCAACGGAAATGCTACAGGACTGCATTTAATGCTCATTTAATGAGCCCCATGCTCCGAAGAGTAAAAGCTGATGATTGACCGAGATTCCTGGAAAGCCTATCCCAAAATAGCAAGCCGCCAAACTTGCGGGCCCAGCCGGTCAACTCAAACTGTACGTGCATTCAATGCAATTGTCTCCTCCTCCAACGGGAAGACAACCTCAGTATAAAAGATACTACTCGAAGAACAACCAAGTAACTTTTGCCACAACTTGTGCTCTATTTACAAAAAGCCTTCTTGAAATTCAACACTTCAACTCCATCAACAAGAAAGGCCTACGTTGGGAAGATCATAATTTCATATACTCTTCATCACCAACAAGGGCAAAGTTCCTACTGTTCTTCAACTCTTCAAGCACCTTATTACAAATCTTTTGTGACGAAGCAAGTTGGAGAAAACTCTGTTTTCAACAGAACATCTTCTGCAAAGAAGGACGTCTTAAAGTAGCTCGAGTAGTGAAGTGGAGATACTTCAAGGAGACTCAGTGAAACAAGACCAGTCTTAAAGGAAGCAAGGAAGTGCATCCCAGGAGACATCTAGACTTGAAGAAGACGTGGAGAGCTTCTTAAGTTCTAGGGACTAAGGCGTTGTAACCGTTGTTTTACAAGCTTAGTGGAACAGTGGATTAGAGGAACGAGTTGTTCCTTGAACCACTATAAAAATCCCTGGTGTTATTTACTTACAGCTTTTATTACTTGCAAACTGATTAACTCCATAGAAGTGGTATCTGTGTTCAGCAGAACACCTCTAGTGAGTTACCAGAAGGCCAAGTGCCTTTACTCTTCTGTGAGGCTATCCCGACAGAACACTTACCAGAAGATCTCCGCTGCCAGTCTGTTCTCAACAGAACAGACTATTCTGTTTACCTTGGTACTTGACTTGAAAAAGTTAAAAACCATAACAGTGTATTCACCCCCCCCCCCTCTAGACTGTTACCACATTAACCGGGACCAACAAGTGGTATCAGAGCCTCCTTGTTCTTGTAATCTTTTAGGTCACTTCTTGAACAAAGATCCACTTGTTTCTAGCCTCTTTACTTGTCACTATGGATAACTCTCTTGCAAAGCACCTCATGTTTTCAGATCAGAAGTATGATGACTGGAAAATCCGGATGAAAGCACACCTCTGTGCCCTCCATGATGAAATGTGGGAAGTCCTTGAAGAAGGACCCTTCACCAAATTCATGAAGATAAACACTGCATATGCTGCTGATAAAACACAGCCTGAGATGATTGAAAAGGCCAGATCTGAATGGACCAAGGAAGAGAGGAGACAGTATAACTTGGACAACATAGCCAAGGATATTCTCTACAAGGCTATAGACAACAGATACTTCAACAGAATAAAGAAGTGTAAAACTGCCAAGGAGATATGGGACAAACTTGATCTCATTGGTGCTGGAGATGAGCAGGAGAGAGACAACAAACTGACCATAGCCATGAAGAAGTTTGATGACTTCAAACTTCTGCCTGATGAATGCATAACTGAGATGCATGCCAGACTGCTGATCCTTACTAGCGAAATCTCTGAGCTTGGAAAGGATCTCACTATCAAAGAAGTAAATCTGAAGATTCTCAGAGGACTGCCCCCAGTCTGGAAGATGAAAGTTATTGCTGTCCAAGAGAGCAAGGACATCAAAACCTACCCAACAGAGAAGCTGATCTCTGATCTCAAAGCCTATGAGTTTGAGATGCATGATGAGAAGGAAGAAGTTCCTGATGAGAGGACCACCACTGCCCTTACAGCCAGCACATCCAAGGTAAAGGACTTTGACCCTTCTACCCTTTTATCTGATGAATATATGGCTGCCTTTGCTAGGAAGTTCAAGAAGTTCATGAAGAAGGATGGGAGAAGCCCATCCTCTAGCAGAAGACCATTTCAGAAGACTAAGCCCTCTGAAAGCAGTGGAGAGCTCCTCTGTTACAACTGCAGACAGCCTGGACACTTCAAGGCCTACTGCCCCCATCCAAGAGTGTCCAAGAAGCAAGGTCAAGATGGAGAAAGAAAGTATGAAGATCAAAATCAAAGAAGGAAAGCCTTCATCTCAGAGCAAGTCGAGAGAGATCCCCTCTCTGAGACAGAATCCAGCTCAGATTCAGACTCAGATGAAGCCTTCTGTTGCCTTGATACAGACACAGAAGACCTATGCCTCATGGCTCAATCTGATGATGAGGTATATTCTATTGCTGACTCTATTTCCTCTTCGGTAGGCACAGCCTTAAATGATGATCCAATGTCATCATTTTGGGAAGAGTTCAAAACTATCCAAGACACTTATTCTTTGATTAAAGAGGAGAACAGTAAACTAAAGTTAGAAATCTCTGACTTAAGAAAAGAGACTGAGTGCAAACTTGATCTCTTAATTAAGGGAAGAGACAAACTGAAAGTTGAAAATGAGTCTCTTCTAAAAAGAATAAGAAAAATTGAGAGCCTCGAAATCAGATATGATAGTCTTTTGAAGATGCAATCTTCAATAAAGAGTATTGATGATACTCATAATCTCACCTCTGGTCTTGGATATGTTGAACACAAGTCTGGTGAGCCTTCAGTAAAGTCTAGCATTCAAGTTGCTAAGACTGATAAGGTCATAGTGCCACAGACTTCTAAGCCCATCTGCTATGCTAGTACTTCTGGTACTAAAGTTACTCATGAGAAAGTCCCACCAGAGAACCAAAGACTAAAGGCCAAACCCAAACGAACTTTGAAAACTGATGAATCTGGCAGAAGGTCTAACAACCTAAAAGGGTTTCAGAAAAATAATAATCAAAGGCAAAAAGTTAACAGACCTTCTCATGATAACCATAACAGAAACCACTATCAGAAAGGCAGATATCAAGAGAAAGTTAACTTTAGGCAAAAGAGGTCCTCTGGTCAGCCTCAGAAGCCCAAGGTTAAGCGCCCCTCTACTCTTGATAGTATATGGGACTTCTTCCCAACTAAGAAGGCTATGCAGAAGTATGCAAACAGAAAGCATGATCCTCACAAGCATCTGCCCAAAGTGAATCATACATCTGTTTACTACGATTACCAGGTGGACAATGGGTACCATCCACCAAGGTTTCAGTTGATGAGACCAAAATGGTACCAACTACCAAGGCTGCATTACCCCCCAGGACCCAACATTGCTTGGGTACCTAAATATTCCTTTTAATTTTGCAGGAACTGTGTGCTGGAGCTATCTCTGAACAACAATGGTTTATTGATAGCGGATGCTCCAGGC